TCATGTGATGATGGGGCCACAAATCTGCCTTCATTCTGCCAGTGTGTTGAAAACTTGAATGAGGCTTCATCCTGTGCTGGCAGCAGAACTTAGCAGCATTGTCCACAAGGTGCTGGTGTGGGAGTTAGGAAAGACAGGATAACTGAGTCACAGAATCTGTTTTAATTATTTTGTGTGTGTATGTGGATGAGAACGCTCATGCTGAGCAGCAGGTGTGGAGGTCAGAAGAGAAGTTTGTGGGAGTTGGTTCTTCTACCATGTGGATCTTCGAGGCTGCTCTCAGGTTATCAGGCTTGTTGTCAAGCATCTTTATCTGCTACACAGTCTTGCGAGGCCTGGGGATCATGGAGTCTTGTTCCACAGTTTCAAAGTGCTGCTGAGGCAAAGCAAGGAGTGGCAGGGTCTGTGCATTTTGTGAACATGGGAAGATGAGGCCAAGGTTGCAGTGGAGATCCTGAAGTACTGGAGAAGCCAGGATTGTGATATATGTACTGGAGACGGTGTGAGCATGGGACAGAGCCATCCCTAAAGGGACTCCATGTGATCTGCTGCCTTTAGGGGCCCAATTTGTTGTGGGATAATCTTTTTGTACACTGTGAAGATGTATCTCTCTTAAGGAACCTTCTGATTGGCTTAACAAAGAGCTGAATTGCCAATAGCCAGGCAGAAGAAGATGGGTAGGACTCTGGGAAGAGAGGAGCTCTAGGAGAAACTGGAGGTGCGGAGATTCACCAGCAAGGGAGTCAGACATACCGTATGGAGGAGAGGTAATGAGCCATGTGGCAGAACATAAATTAATATAAACTATTAATATATAATTATTAATAGTATAATATATAACTATAAATAGAATACTTAATTTAAGTTATAAGAGCTAGTTGGGAACAAGCCTAATCTAAAGCCAAGCTTTCATACTTAATAAGTAAGTCTCCTTGTCATTATTTGAGAGCTGGTGGTCCAAAGAAAGTCCGACTACACCAATTAATTACATTGTAAGCTCCAGATGCTAGACACGAATCTGCAGGATTTGGTGTTTGCCCTGCTGGGTTTTAGTTTGCCTTTGCGTGTTTGTTTCTTGCTATGCCTCAACGCTTCCATTTTGGAATAGAAGTGTTAAATCTTGCCATTATATATTGGAAATATGTAAATTGGTTTTGCTTTTATAGAAGTTCAAGTTTGTTTCAGAGACTTTGAAGACTTGTAAAGTGTTAGACTTGTTGGTCATGGAGCCTTTTGAAGTTAAACTGATGCATTTTACATTATATAAAGTGGTCATGAGCCTGTAGTGACAAGGGGTAGAAGGATATGGTTTGAAAGTGAAGTTAAGTTGTTTAAGTTTGATGTTAAGTTGATAAAGGGTAGAGCTGTGATGGCTCCTTGTCAGAATCTATAATGACGAGGGAGATGGACCTCTGGGGATGCCTCTGGTGGATTATCTTTGATTGCATCCACTGAAGTGAAAAGAGCTGTCCACTGTAGGTTGTACCATTTCCCTAAACAAGGACTGTATAAACAGAGAAAAGAAAGTTAGCAGTTATAGGTAAACTAGCCTGCCCCTGTGTTAGGCTTGAAAGCCATCTTATAGAAAAGACAAACTAGGTTCATTCCTGTTTATGATTAAACCTCTGTTTCTCAAGGATTGGGCTATGCCCCACCAGTAACCTTCTACAAATGGTTCTGTATTGCCTATTCCAGGAGACAGCAACCATGCCTTTGTTTCAAACAGTTGTTATGACCACCTATGACTACCTTGCTATGGCCATCTTGCAACCATGTCTTTGTTTCAGTAGGTTGTTATGATCAACTTGGTATGCTTATATTCCTGATTCAGTAACCCTGTCTATTCCTGAAATATTCCTAAACCTTTATTCTACCAATGTCCAAGGTTGATTTCTTGAACCCCTCCTTTAGGGAGGGAAAGCTGATGTCCATGAATTAAAAAAGCTTGCTTTAATTAATTTGGCAATGATGACTTGGGTCAGTGGGATTGACAGTAGCATGTGTTTACTGCTCCTGTTCTTTTTTATGTTTGCAATGTGACCAGATTACTTCAAACCCTGCCACACTGAGTTCCCTACTACCATGAACTGTATCCTTGAACTGTGAGCTGGAACCAACCCTCCCTTCATTAAGTGACTTTTGTCTGGATATTTAACACATCCACAGGAAAAGAAAATAACACACATATGTTTGCAAATAAGTTTGCAAATGAACAAACAAACGAATGACTGTCACTTATCAAAACCAAGCCAGCTATGGGGGTGGGTCTTTTGTGATGCACCAGGGAGTCCGGAAGAAGAGCCGGTGGCTTCCTTTAGCTTAGGCGTAGATAATTGCAGCCTTACAGGAGAGGTTTCTGCACTCCTCCTCTCCCAAGGGCTTTTCTCTACTAAGGAATGTGTCATGCCATCAACCCCAGCTCTTTTCCAAGGATAAATGTTCCCCTGACGAAGAGTCCTCACCACCCCTTGTTTAATTATCAGACACAGTTCTGTTTACCCAAATCCTGTCTCCAAGAAGCCAACATGAAGGTGCTGGGTAATAACCCTACTGTACTTAATGGCTTCCACATGGTCCTTCACTCCGTACAAGATTGTTTCAGCTGCTAATTCTCAAAGTCTCCCCGCCCCCGCCCCCAAGCAGGACCATCACTCTGCCATGTACCCCAGAGCTTTCCTCTTCCAGAAAACTCTACATATATCTTAATTCCACAGCAGCACTGGGCTGGGGAGTGGTGGTGCTGGAGAGTATGTTCTTAATTTTTCTCCTTGGAAGTCCTCTCTCTGCCAAAGCCCTTGGCCAGGATCCAGGAGTGGCACATTTAATAATACCTAGTGAGTCTGGTTGATACTTCATAATTACATTGGTGCTGGTGAAATTGTTGCCTTGAGGATAATTCCTGAACATAATGAAAGTGGACAGCCATGTGGCCCCCACACGCCCCCTACTGGGAGGCCAGGGAGTCAAGAAGGAAGAGGAGACAATAGAGGGTCAGGAGAAAAGGATGTAAAGGGTGCTCGCTTGCCTTGGGTAGGGGAAAGGAGACAGGCTTATCAAAGGGAAAGGCTTTCAAGGCTCAAGGACTGAGTTAAATATGTTTGGAACTGATTTTCCTTAGGAGACCAAGAGATGTGAGAGTAGATGACACCTTTGGCAGGTACCTGGGTATGTGATCAGGTCTCTGACTTTTCCTTTAGCCACCAATGGTCCCCGCCTGGTGTTTCCTTAAGGTGGCCACCATCCAGGCTCAGTACCTCACTTTGAAGTCAGGATCCTAGACACAAAAGAAATACATAATGAGATGGGTCCAAGAAAGTTATGGTAGGTGAATGGAAGATGCAGGGTCACTTGGGACTTCAAGTATATGACCAGCTCCTTGTCCATAGCTGTGGAATATGTGCCAGCAGGGCCACCTAGGAAGCTTCAGTTTCTAAGCTTGTCCCTGGGGACAAATGTTCTAGTGGACTGTAGTTACCACGCCTTCCAACAAGTCTTGCTCTTCTTTAGTAACTCCAGCTGTTCAGATGCGTGTCCCCTTCTCCAAGTGGCTCTCATTCTAGATCTGAAGTCTGGATGTGCCAGGACACAGCCCTAGCCCCAGGAAGCTGTCATCACCTACAGGAGACAGCTCTCTCTGGCCATTGCCCAAGAGCACATGTACCCAAGACCACAGGAGAACCTGCAATGCAGACAGTGCAGAGATTCGAGGAGGCACAGCTGCAGAGACCACCCGCTGGTCACAGCTCTGCTCTGAGCTGGTGACAGCAGCTTGTGCACTCATCATTTTCCTGAAACTTCCAAACAAGTCAGGGAAGCTCATAAGAGCTTCAACCAAAAGGAACTTAGAGTCGAGGATGCGATTTATTCAGAACAAACATGGAAGAATGACATTAGTGAGAACTCTGCCCCAGTCTCTATGTTCAGATGCCAATTCTCCAAAACAAAGCAAAACAAAAACCAAAAGGCAAATGAAAACAAAACGAGCTACTGTGGACCAACATGGTGGGTCCTGAAAACCCATTTGATGAATGAATAAATCAATGTAATCAATGTATTAGATACTAGCTAATTAGCTGGGCGTAGTGGTTCATGCCTGTAATCACAACACTTAAGAAGTTGGGGCAGGTGGATGGGAAGTGGGGAGTGGAGGCAGGGAGGAGAAACTGTGGTTGGTACATAAAATAAATGAAAAAAGTTATTTAAATAAAATAATCATAAAAAAACTGGGCAGGAGACTTGTCATGGGTTTGACGTTGTACTGAACTACAGAGTTTCTAGACTAGCCTGAGCTACAGAGTAAGATCTTGTCTCAATAAACAATAATAGCAACAATTTAAATAGTTCAAATAAAAAGTACCAGAAAATACGTTCTGAGAGAATTTCCAATCAAATTAGTTTAAGTTCTTGGTTAACTTGGGCATTAATTCTTCTGTTTTTGTGTGAAGTCTTCCAGTAGATCTGTGTACTGGTTGGAAAGGTCTACTTCCCCTCCAGCCTGGAAACACACCTAAATTCTAGTGTCATCAGCTTTCCCATCCTAGCTGTCTCATCTGGTTATTAGGGGGACAGATGTTCAATGATTCCCAGCTACCACACCCCTCCTTAGAGTTTTGCATTTGGAAGAAACCTAACAAACACTACTATGAAGCTGTTTTTGTTGTTGTATTGTTATTCTGTTTTGTTTTTCTTTGCAGTCTTCTGTCTGGTCAGAGGTCTGGGCCACCATTTCCTGAATTGTCAGTTTCCATAGTTTATGTCCATAGTGGTTTCTAGTTTCCTTTGGCAGAACAGACAATCTGACTGTCCCTGTAGGGTCTGAGCTTCACAAACAAAAGGTGGAGAGAAGAATTTGATGATTAGCAGCTTCAAAGCGCAGCTGAGGTATTCTGAGACATAGCTTGCATCCAGTCAAAAGCAAACTGCCCCTCCTCTTGTGTTGTAGGAGATTTGCTCTCATTTTAAGGTCTGATAAAACTCACTTCTTTCTGTTTCCTGTTGAGGTTCCCTTCTCATCACCTCTTAAGAGACCAGCCTGGAGAACTCAATAGGGTCTATCCGTGGAGCAGAAATTTAGAGCAAATCTTGGCGACAAGGTTCTGAACTGGATTAAGTGCCAAGTGTGACCTCGTTTACAGCAACTTGGGAGGCCCCTGATAAGTCCAAGCCTCTCCCCTTAACTGACCTGGCTGGAACTTTTGACACACGGATGACAAAATGGGTGCAATTAGTTGGAGATATTAATGGGTTCTGTCACGTAAAGTATTTGTAACAAAGCTTTTCCTTGAATTCCAAGCTGAGAGTTTTGACTCCTGGAGCCAAAGAATCCTTTGTTCTGGGGATTACATCATGGAACTATTTTTAGAGGCCAAGTCTGCTCCAGGGGACTGGGGTTACGGCTGCCTTTGCCTTTCTGCCTCCTAACTCCCGATCCTGTGTGCTGCTCGTCCACCCCTCTTCTTCCCAGAGCTGAGTGCATGGCTGGCATGACCAGAGAGAAGTGAAGACCTCATGAGGGCCACCTGGGGTGTAGATGGCACCTCTGGGTGGCTCCAGAGGGGTGAGGACAGGGACTATCTATCACAAGACCATAACCCATGCAGAAAATGTTTTACAGTATCTGAAACCCACAGCCAGGAGTTTGGAGAGATGGGGGAGACTTCGCCCTCTCCTGTCCAGCTGAAACAGGTTGTATCCAGTTCAACTTTAAGGGAGCACAAAAGCCAATTACGTGGACTTTTCCTTGCACCCTCATGGACACCTTCAGTCTCTATTTGCAAGATGGCTTCTTACGGAGGCAAGACCTGACTGGAAAGGACAGGCCTACAAACAGAAGATCACCTCCTCTCCTCAGCCACAGGTGAACAGGTCTAACTTCGTCTGCCCACTTTGCCTCCCTCAAAGTGATCCTCTATCCACAGAAGCAGGCCCGAATACTGTGCTGCTGAAGAAACCAAGGACCAGACAGCTACGTCACTTCCCCAAGTTGTTGGAAGAGCAAGCAGACTATTCCCAGCTTTGACTGCAGTGTTCTTTCCAGTAAGTGCAGCAGGCTGCCCCAGCTGGAAGGGAGGAGTTCTAGGAAAAGGCTGCTTTAGAGGGAGAAGATTCCAGCTTTGGCCTAGCTTGACCTACCTTAGGGACCGGCGCAGTTGGGTCACACCTTTCAGCAGTCTGGGATATCTTCCCCCTTGCTGGACAATGGTTACCATTCCCATGTTCTCACTTATGTCTTGGGGGATAGACATGAAACCCCAGGAGCATACAGATTTCTGGTACAGGACTGCCCATGCGCATACTGCACCTTTGTGTGAATTAGCCGACGGCACCTCCTTCAGGCAAACAGTGCCAGAGCACATTGTACAACCAGAGGGAGGCACCCTGGGCACATTCTACATGCTAAGGTGCCCCAGTGTAAGACCATCAGAGAACGTAACATGGACCCCATCATTTTGTAGAGAGTCAGAGGAAGCACCCATGGGAAGGAGGAAGGGGCTCTTCCACATAACCAGCTGGGATGAGGAATTCACTCTCTCTGTTCTCTCAGAGTTCTCAGAGAACGAACGGGATCTACCACCTCCTTCCCTACACAGGAAATCTCTGCTTCCCCTACCCTAGGAAGAAACAAGAATAGGGTCATCAGGAGAGGAACTCTGTGTCCCAAAGCAAAGTGCTTTTATTGCTGCAAATGAATGTCTTAAAAAAAAGGGGGGGGGGATGGGTGGATGGGGCCTGGGCTCCTTGGGAGTTGGGTCTGTCTGTCAGTCTCTATGCATTGAGATAGCAGTAGGACTATGGATGAAGTGTGGACAGGCCTGTGGGGTACATAGAAACACCTCCCTCTTTGGTTTAGAGAGGGGGGTACCTGGGTCAGCAGAGCCCCTTCATTGGCCATCCAAGTGCTGAACACAAGAGGTGATGAAGACAGGAGGCTGTTCCCCTAATTTTCTTATTGTGTAAATTCCTGATTTTTTTTAAACTGTCTCCAAAGAACATAAACTGATGTAGGGGCTGAGCCAAGCTTAAGTTCGTTGGAAAAATAAAGAAATTTTTGGATTTTTGTGCCAAAGATTTGTGAAATAAATTTATACTGTTTATAAGCTCCAAGAAGGGCTTCAAGTTCACATTCACTTATCCCTTTTCCTCCACTCCAATCCTTACCCCCTGACCGCCATGACCCAGATTCCTATGTAGGATAGCATCTGACCTCATCCACAGTTCTTAAAACACAGCATGAGATTGTCCCTTTGGAAGACACATCTTACTACAGCCAATTAAAAAATATGGACTCTGATTTACTTATAAAATGCTTGTAGTGGATTAGGAGAACTGACAGAGGGTTTATTGTTTTTCTTTAGGTCTGCCTTGACTCCTGAGAAAGCTGGTAATTTCTAACTAACCAGGACAGTCTGGGCAGAGCTGGTATTCCCTGACACTCAGGATAGTCTGGGCAGAGCTGGTAATCCCTAACCACCCAGGACAGCCTTGGCAGAGCTGGTATTCCCTGACTACCCAGGACAGCCTTGGCAGAGCTGGTATTCCCTGACTACCCAGGACAGTCTGGGAAGAGCTGGTAATCCCTAACCACCCAGGATAGCCTGGGCAGAGCTGGTATTCCCTGACTACCCAGGACAGCCTGGGCAGAGCTGGTAATCCCTGACTACCTAGAACAGTTTGGGTGTAGGTTTCGGAAAATTCTGAGGGATGCTAGAATACCCGAGAGCTAAACTTGATGGACTCTTGAAAGTCTGGGGAGTTAGTTAGTACCAGGGAAACAACCTCTCTGAGAAAGAGGCACCTTTGTCTTGTCCCAGTGCCCTCATCTATAGTTCCTGATGTCTCTGAGCAAGCTTCCTGGGCTCCCCTAGTTTGTCATCTCAGCTGAGGAAGGGGAGAGTGTTCATTAGGAGACTGAAATGTGACTTTGGTTCCCATCTGACCTCGGAGGCCATCTTAAATGGAAGACATTGCAAAGGAGGAGATTATTCTCCCTGAAGAGGTTGAGGCTGCATTTGATCTGAATTATTACTGTTCTGACCCTGCCCTTCCCCTGTAAAACCTGGAATTGATTCCGTGGGTGGTTTTTAAAAATTCAAAGTAGTAAGAAATGTTTCCTTCCAGTTCTGTGTTCTCATGTGAATTGTTTCAAACATGTGCTATGGGTCTGAGTAACACTCAAACCAGGGTAACAGCAGGCTTCATCCAACCTTTGTTATTACTTATTCTGAGCCTACAATATAAAACAAAACAAACAACAACAACTAAAACAAAAAAAACAAACAAAAACCTAGAAGGGCCTCTTCTCACCTCCTGTGTTTTAACACCGTTTCTCTTTTTCTTGTCTCATTTGGAAATGGCCTACAGTGAACTTCTCAGGGCAAAGATGGGTGTGTCCTTTGCCTCTGTGAAGTTGGATTAGGCCTCCTGGACCTCCTTGGTCTTCTCTCCACAAAAGCAGCACTCCCGAGCTATGCACATAGGCCGTGATTCCTGACGTTGGTGCCGTAGGACTGGCTGTGTCCTCTGGGGTGTTCTGGAGCTGGTGTCTACTCATCAGGCCTTACCCTTTCTCCTCTGTGTGCTCCCCAGAGACTGTGGCTTTCTCGTCCAGCCTGGGTGATGGGATCCACTCTCTGTCCTGCATGCAGAGGACACTGTGCTTCCTAGATACTTACTTAGTCAGCTGCTGGCTGTGCCCTTTCTTTACCATCATCATTTGTGGGTTCCAGAAACTTCTTAGCAATGGCCCCAGGATCTTTAGCTCCAGCCAAGACTCTGCTCTCTCTCTCTCCTTTTAGTTTACTTCTTGGCTACCTCCCTCTCAACCCCAGCTCTGCACATTTTGTTCCTTCTCTTCTTTCATCTAGGCAAGCTTTCTCTTCTCTGGACAGGGAGTGTCCCAGGAACAGCGTAATCCCAGGGGAAAAAATGAAGAGAAAGTGGCTTAAGGGTCAAGGGAAGCGTAAGGCGGAACTGCCGTCTGGAGCCTTATTGGTGCTGGGCTTGCAGTGTTTGCCAAGTGAGGCAGGACAGTTCACTGCTGAACAGTTTGCAGAGAGAAACACCTGGCAAACACTGGGGAAAGCAGAGCTCAGCACAGTGAAGTATCGAGTATTGAAAATTCCACTCCAGATATGAGAAGGCAATGGGGCAATAGCTATCCAACCGGACGCCAGACATTGGTTTGCCTTCATGGCTTTTACCTTTGCAAGAGCAGGGAAAAAACGATGTGGGGAGCTGATGGCTTGTCCTTGATTTTTGTCTACCAGGCTGAACTCTGCATGGTATAAAACACTTGGGAGAGAATAAGAAAGATGTGTCTGGCATGAGTTATTAGCAAAGAAGGACAACGCGTGCCCAGGATACTCTGCCATGAAAGACGGCAGCTCTGAATGGAGTACCTGCCTATAGACTTACTCGTGAGCTCAGGTTCGGAGACGTGGTCTATAAAACACAAAGCAGGAACAGGCCAACCTCTGAAGGGTGTCAGAGAGGCAGGATGACAGTCAGCTGCGGATTGTGAAATGTGCAAAACAACAAAATGGACCAGTTGGAATAGAGGAATGACAAGAAGTTGAAGCCAGCACTTAGGAAAGATTGTGTAACGGATGAAGAAACTAGCCTCCGCCTAAACCACAAGGACTTCTGGGATCATCTTGTCGGTAATTAGAATGTCACCACTTTCTTCTTCTCCATTCTTGCTTACTATCTTGCCCCATGCCCAGTCACAGCTGGATATATGGTCGCCCGATTACGAGCCACATTTCTCAGTTTCATTTTACTACTACTTTTGCAGTTCAGTGACAACATGGCTTTGCTATGGGCCCATGGGGCATGAGCAAATAAGGTATGCGATCCTAGGTAACATCGTAACTCTCTTTAAGGGCAAAAACTTTGGCTCTTCTTTGACCCATTTCTGTTTCTGGGATCTAGAAGTAGGAGCCACACTCTGACACTTAGCCTTGCTCCCTGGCTCATTCCTGAGAGGAGCTAACCTACAACCCTTAGACTTTATGAGAAAGTCATAAACTTGTAATGATTTAAACTTTTGCATTTTGGGTGCTCTTGTTACAACTTCTCATCTAATAAACCATCATGACTGCTAAGGTTTGCATTAGCAGAATAAGCCAGGAAAGTTTAGATGTGTTACAAAGGTCAAGATGTTTGTTGCCTGGAGTCCGGGTGTGTTGTTGGCACTAAGGGACCTCTTTCTATCCTTCTATCTGATTCCACAGCACATCCAGTCAAGCTCCAGTTAGCTCATCTTTCCGCTACTGAAAAGAAAATCCACATGGGAATAACAGAAAGTGAAGTGAAAGGTGGGAAAATACCGAGCTTCATTTTAGATGGATTTAGGAATTGGAATTGTTACATGTTTGGTCTAAAACTTGAGTAAGTCAGGATTCCAGGGTTGCAGAGAAATTGACCTTTTCTCATGACAACAGCTTCTGAGAGATCCTTTCTTCTACAGAGCAAGAGCATAATTTTAGTAAGGTCAGGACACTGAGATAACACATAAGACTGAGTATGCTACTCAGGGCCAGCCACACCCCAGTGGACATGAATTCTTTTAGCTTTTTTTTAAAATCATATCATGGAGAACTTCCTTTCTCTTGCAGCCAGGTGTATGGTTTTGCCAGGTCTAGTAGTGGGGAGTGGATACATGTTCTTTTAGGACTTGTGCTTTGCTCCAAGCTCTTCTGGCTATGAGAAGATGGCTATTATTCTGATTGGCCTGCTTTGCTATGTTACTTGTGGTGTTTCTCTTGCAGTTTTCAATACTGTTTCTTTGTTCTGTATATTTAGTGTATTAAGTATAATACGCCATGAGGAGTTTCTTTTCTGGTTCTGTCTGTTTGGTGTTCTGTGTGCCTCTTTGGATGGGTATGCCTTTCCTCAGTTTGGGGGAGTTTTCTTTTATTATTCTATTGAAGACTTGCTTTAACATTTGCCTGGGATTCTTTCCTCTATGTCTATAGTTCATAAATTTTATCTTTCTGTGGTGTCTCAGGGTTCTTGCATATTCTTTTCGTGTATTTGCTTATACTTACCGTTTCCTTGATTGGCCCAAATTCTCTACTTTGTCTTCCAATCCTGATGCTCTGTCCTGTACTTGATTCATTCTGCTGGTATGATTTCCCACTGGGCTCCCATGGGGCCATTACATCTTTCATTTCCATTTTCGTTTCATCTTGCATTTTCTTCAATATCTCTCTAATTTTCTCTTTATCAAACTCACTTTTCAAACCCTGAATTGCCATCATTATTTCATTCAACTGTTTGCTTGTGTTTTCCTGGACTTCCATCAGAGATTCATGCTTGAATACCAGGGTGTGTGTCACTGGGGTCTTAGTTGTGGTATGTGTGATTGCTTGGGTGAGGTCTGACTTGGGGGGGGCATGTGGTGTAAAAACACCAAGGGATGTGAGGGCCAGTGCTTAGACAAGGTTCTCTGGCTGGTGGAAGAGGGCAGAAAGGGTGCCCAATGGAGATTACCAACGAACCAAACTGCTGGATGCTGTTCATAGTCCCAGGAAAAGCAACTCAAGGTGAGAGGCTAAAAGGGCTCACTTGGAGAGCTTGAGAGCATGGCTCCTTGCTGGCCCTGGGCAGGCTAAGGGTGGTATGGGGTAAGTAATTGAGCAGACTCACCAGGAAAGCCCAAAAGTAGGTTCCTGCCTGGACCTGGGTGGGAGACTGTGGCCTCTGTCTAGCTATTGAGCTTGCTCTGGTATCAGAGAGAGCACCATCATCCACTCTCTTGAGTCTCCACCTTGCCAAGTAGAGATTTCTGTATCCCATGAGTTAATTCCTTGTAATAAAATTGCTTTCCTTCTTTCTGCGTAAATCTTAATGGTTCTGATTTTCTGGAGAACCCTGAGTAATACAATGGCTTCCTAAGTTTGGGGTGATTCAGAGTTTAGAATGTCTAAAATATGTAAGATGAATGCTAGATTAGTCATATACTTAGTGAGAGACCCAGCAGAGCCGGGTGGACCAACACAATCGCAAATCTGGTTTTCTGAAACTCTTTTTACTGCTTTTGGGGAATGTGCGAACAGGGGTATC